TTATCGTACCTTTGGATAGAGCGTATCTGGAATCCGTTGAGGGAAGAGGAAGGATGGGAGGAGATTGCGGAAGGAAGGGTGGAATCAGCTGGGACGATTGTTCTCTCGGAACAAGGCTGGCACCTGTTCTGCACAACGCTCGCTGCAGGACAGAACTCGATGTGGCTTTTAGGGGACGCTGAGGCAAGGGCTCGGCAGGCGGGGGGAAATTTTGCTAGTAAAGGTTGGGATACGGTCAGCAGTAGAGTCGTGATGGGAGGATGGTAAACCGCCCGGCGCCGGAATCAAGACCTGGGTACCCGAATTCGTGGCAGACTGGTTTGGGGGCTTTGATCATGTAACAGAGGTAGCCGGCACGATGGAGCGAATACATGTGAATTGCACTTGGCTGGCAGGGGAATTCTATAGGATATCCTTGAAATACGGACCCTTCCACGGCGACAGAGCCTGGGAGGTCCTTATCATTTTGGACATTGAAAGGAATGACCGGCAGAAGGTGGCCCCGAAAACTAGGGAGGTCATAATCTGCCGTGAGGTAGCAGCAACACCTTGTTATGTGGATGATGTGTTCAAACTGTTCGAGGTACTGTGGTTCGACTAAGCGCCGGGAAGCCGTGGGGCCAGGCGAATATAGGGAAAATTGCTAAGATAAGCGAATGGGATGTCTGGCGATTGTAGGGTTCAGTGCGGATCACGGGCCAGGAGAACAGAGGCGACTGTGTGATGGCGCGAAGAAGAACGTTCCTTGAGGAACGCCCCTTGGGTAAAATCTGTCCCAGCCAAATGACTATAGCCACCTCCGAGATATGGGACCGGACCCTGCCCTCTTGGGGGACCAATAACTGTCTCAGACCTAGGGTCGTCTGACATGTAGGAGTCAATCACCCTCAAGAAGATACCGTGCAAGAAGATACGCAATCCTCCTCAAAGTCGCTCTCCGTCATCATCGCTCACCGGTCTCCAGCGCTCCTGTCACTGTCCACAAACTCAGCCTCTGTGAGTGTCCCAGTCAAAATAGTCGCCCAGATCAATGTCACTCACAGAGCTGGGCTCCAAGTCCGACTCATCTGTCTCTGATCTCTGGACGCATGTAGTGATTGGGACCCCGGATCTGGCTCTCTCTCTCCTAATCCGGTCGTCCTTCCGCCTCTTGTCCTTGCTGCGAGACTCACTAAGGGGCTTGGGGTTACATCCGTCAAAATCGAAGAACACACCCCCAAGTGCTGAAGGTACGCGAGGGAACACCACGTGTAGCCAGTTGTCCCTCCAATAGCTCTCCCTGCGAAATATGTAATCAGCAATCCTGTCGTATGTGGTGCCCTTCACCCCCGTCTCTGCCCCCTTCACCGACTAGGTGATCATGAGCGTGTGTCCTGAGGTCGAGGACTCATTAGCCCTGATAGTGAAACTCTGATCTCCCACATGTCTGTAGCAGAACCTCTCGATCAGTCTACCCCACATGTCTCACGATGACGGGCCAGCTTGGACAGAAAACACACTCTCACTAGTGCGGATGCTCCCTCCAAGACCTGGCCGGATGGTAGTCGACAACGCAATGTACGGGCCTGTCTGAATGGCCTGACTGAACTGCAACTCGATAGGGCCCGCCTGAATGGGCCCGCCTGAACATCAACTCGATATAAAGCCCGCCTGAATGGGCCCGGCTGAACTGCAGCTATCTCAGAAGAAAGGGGCCCGCCTGAAGGGGCCTGGCTGAAAACTGCAACAATCTCGAGAGGTGGGCCCGCCTGAAGGGGCCCGCCCGAACAGCAACAATCCCAAGTAGGCCCGCCTGAAGGGCCTGGCTGAACAGCAATAATCTCAAGTAGGCCCGCCTGAAGGGCCCGGCTGAACAGCAACTGATCAGTAAAACATCTTATGCACAGGGACCAGTCGTAAATGCTGAATGTACTGGGGCTAGACTGAACCAGGTCATCTGAGCAGGGACTGAACTGCCAATGCTCCCCGTGCGAGGGAAAATATCACGTGCATGAGGTGTTGCTGATCAGCAAGGAAATAAATCAACGGGAGCGTGATGGCAAATCATCTCAGCTAGCAATCCTATGCTCGGGTGCACAAGGGTTCGCACTCAAACGACAATATCCAGCCTGAGCGCACACATATCCAGCGCAAGTGCACATGGGCGCGCACTCAAATAACGAAATTCAGCCTGGGCGCACACTGGTGCGCACTATCCAGCCTGGGCGCACACTGGGGCGTACTCTAACAACAACATCAAGCTTGGGCGCGCATGGGTGCGCACTCTCAAGCTTGGGCGCGCATGGGCACGCACTCTAACTGCAATACCAAGCTTGGGCGCGCATGGGCGCGCACTCTAACTGCAATGCCAAGCTTGGGTGCGCATGGGCGCGCACTCTAACTGCTTTTCCAAGCTTGGGCG